CTTGCAGTGATAGCTTGAAATGCCCAAACCCATCACCTGCTCCATCACACCATGCAGACCTTCATGTGTGCCCCCCACCCCAGGACCAGCCCATCCTGGGGTCCCCAGCCGGCACCTGCAGCAATGGCTGGGCAACACCGTGACCTCCCGAGGCCTCCCGCTCAGTAAATAGTGTCAAGGTTAGAGCGAGGGATTCATTGGGGCCATAAATGTTTATGGCAGGGCCCCCCCCCCCCCCCCCCCCCCCCCGCCACAGTCCCTACATGGCTACTCCGTTTCTTGGCTACAGCAGCCACCAGCAAGTTAACAACATGTCCCCCTACATGCTTGGCGAGGATCCACGCGCACCCAGAGAAGCTGGTGCTGGGGGACTTCCATCATCCCCGTGGGATACAGCCACGGTGGGATATGGCAAAGAGGATGTGGAAAGCCATCAGTGGTCCTGCAGGGAAAAGGAAAGGCAGAGCTAGCTGGGAAGGGAGATCAGCATCCCTAGGTGTGGGGAGGAGGAGGTGTGGGGGCCAGCCCTATGCTCTTGGAGAGGCGAAGGCAATAATTAAATCTCTCCTACCATAGGGAAGTCATTAAGGAAAACAGGAGCCTTGTGCCAGGATTCAGCCTGGAGGCTCATCCCATGGCACTGGACCCAGGGCTGCGTGGGCCATGGAGTTAATAGCCCAGTGCACCTGGGCCACACGCATAAACCCTAATTTTTCTCTTTATCCTGGGTTTTTGACTTTTACCTGACCAGGACAGAAATCTGCAGGATGAAGCCCAGGGGGGCTGTGGCACCCATCCCTGGAGGTCCCCCTGGATGTGCCCTTCTTCCGTACTATCTGAGCTCCTCTCCATGGGCAGGAGGCCCCCCGAGGAAGGCAGCGCTCGCATGCTGAGGAGCCCTCACCAAATAATCCACGCAGAAGCTGTGTCACACACTGCTTTTTAATGGTGAACCAACAGTACATGGAGGAAGGCGCACACGACACCGGGGTGATGGGGACTGGCAGTGTTGAGTCCAACCAGCCCCATCCAGGAGCTCCCCAGCACCCTCAGCAGTATCGGCAGGAGATGGGGTCTCTGGGACATGGGCCCTGGGCTGAGTTACCCCAAGGTCCCACCCAAGCACTGAAACCAAGCCCTTCGCCTTTCCCTGTGAAAAGTAGTGCCCGGGGCTGGGGACAGCCCTCAGGTCCCCCCTGAGGGACAGACATGGGTCCTTCCTTTGGCACTGGGTCCAGCTGAGACCTGTCCCTGTCCTCCTGCTCACATGGGAAATGGGTCTTCCAGCGTCTTCGCTTCCTTCAGCTGATCCCAGCCCTGCCAGGCACTGCAAGGAAGAGCTGCCCTCACCCACCTGGGAGATCTACAAGCTTGGAAAGGCCCAAGCTTGTTTGTTTATAAAGTAATTTTGTTTCCCCTTTTAATTATTTTTAAGTGCTCATTTCTGGGGTAAGATTTCTGCAGCAGGGCACTGATTTGCGCTGGTTTGGCTGGAGTACCTCTGTGTGAGCAGAGAGCACTGATACACACCGTCCTCAGGGCATGGAGGATGTTACAGTCCTTTCTCCCACTTTTTTGTGAGTTATTAAATACACATGAACAGAGAACAGACTGAGACAGAGGACCTCCTCTTCCTCCCCACCTCCTGCAGCCTGAGCATCCCTATGCGGGGAGGGCAGGGCTGGGGCTGAGGGTGGGAGTGGGGCAGCCTGGACACTTGCACCAGACACCATCACACGAACGTATGGACTTGTCACACAGCTTGTCACACTGAACAGAAACACCTCGGGGGCACTGGGAGGGGCAGCAGATCCGTCCTGGTGGGGTTAGGGCATCGGTGAGGAGGATGGCAGGGTCAGCAGCTCCTGACTGCTCCTCAGAAGACACCCCTCCACCCCGAGCCATCCTGAAGT